GAAGCCAGTCATTAAATCAACATTCATGACAAAATGTTAAACTGCCTTGGGAGTATTCACATGAGCTCATTCATCTTGTTTTGTTTGCAGGCCCCATGAGTTCTCCCAGTCCTCCCGCTTTGAATGTCATTTGAGAGAAGAGGTGGACACATCTTCATCCAGGTTGGGGGCAGCCTAGAAGCGCAGAACCAAGATGGAAGGGCAAGAGCCAGCTGCCACCCAGTTAGAAGGATTTTCTTCTGCTGTTGAGGAAGAGAACAATAGAGCATTCCGGGAGGACCCTTGGAGGAAAGACCGGGAGAGTCTGCTCCATTCAGACCTTCAGCGCCAGAGCTTTAGGCAGTTCCCCTACAAGGAGACTTTGGGGCCCCGAGAGGCCTGCAGCCGCCTCCACTCCCTTTGCCGCCTGTGGCTGAAGCCCGAGCGACACTCCAAGGCGGAGATGCTGGACCTGGTGATCCTGGAGCAGTTCCTGGCCGTCCTTCCTGCGGAGATGGAGCGCTGGGTGAGGGAATGTGGGGCAGAGACCAGCTCCCAGGCCGTGGCCTTGGCTGAAGGATTCCTCCTGAGTCGGGCCCAAGAGGAGAGGAAGCGGGAGAAGCCCCAGGTGAGAATGAGAGAGAGAGAGGTTCATCTTGTAGTTTCAAGGAACCAAGAATAATTGTTTTAGAGGATTATGTAAAACTCTTTTGAACTCCTCAGGCCGGGATTATCGCATTCAATTTCAGGTGGCAAATTCTAATAATACTAATACTAATAATAATAATAATAATCTTTATACCCCGCCACCATTTCCCCAGTGGGGACTCAGAGCGGATTACATGGGGCCAACATATTACAGCAAAATAAAACCAAAACATAAACAGCAAGCAACATCATCAAAGATTAGAGAGATGGGCCAAAACTAACAAAATGAAGTTCAACAGGGACAAATGCAAGATACTCCACTTAGGTAGAAAAAACGAAATGCAAAGATACAGAATGGGGGACAATGCCTGGCTCGAGAGCAGTATGTGTGAAAAAGATCTTGGAGTCCTTGGACAACAAGTTAAACATAAGCCAACAATGTGATGTGGTGGCAAAAAGCCAATGGGATTTTGGCCTGCATCAATAGGAGCATAGTGTCTAGATCCAGAGAAGTCATGCTCCCCATGCTCTATTCTGCCTTGGTTACATCACCTGGAATATTGTGTCCAATTCTGGGCACCACAATTGACGAGAGATGTTGACACTCAGCTGGAATGTGTCCAGAGGAGGGCGACTAAAATGATCAAGGGTCTGGAGAACAAGCCCTATGAGGAGCGGCTTAAGGAGCTGGGCATGTTTAGCCTGAAGAAGAGAAGGCTGAGAAGAGATATGATAGCTATGTATAAATATGTGAGAGGAAGTCACAGGGAGGAGGGAGCAAGCTTGTTTTCTGCTTCCCTGGAGACTAGGACGCGGAACAATGGCTTCAAACTACAAGAAAGGAGATTCCATCTGAATATGAGGAAGAACTTCCTGACTGTGAGAGCCATTCAGCAGTGGAACTCTCTGCCCCGGAGAGTGTGGTGGAGGCTCCTTCTTTGGAAGCTTTTAACAGAGGCTGGATGGCTATCTGTCAGGGGTGCTTTGAATGCCATGTTCCTGCTTCTTGGCAGAATGGGGTTGGACTGGATGGCCCATGAGGTCTCTTCCAACTATGAATCTAAGAAACTGTATGTTTTTTACAGGTAGAGATAACACAACTGGGACCTGAAAACACAGATATACAGACTTTGGTTACTCAGCCCGAGAACCCCTCTAGGGTAGACCCAAATCACAATCCCAGGATCATCAGTAGCCCTTCCACTTCAGATCGAGTCCTGAAGCAGAGTTCAATGCCCAAACGAAGGCAGCATTCCCACACCAAAATCAAGAAAAGACCAATTTTTCTACAGACTTGGGTATTTACCACAATACAAGTGGTCTGGAACAGGTTGCAAAGGTCCCTCCTTTTCTAATCTGTCTTTTTCTTTGTGATCTGTGCCTCTTGTTCAGGTGCAGGACCCTTTTGCAGATGAAAACAACCAGGTGGAGGAGTCACACATTTGGGTCGTCCCAATTGGAGAAGGAGAATATCTTGTAGTTGGTAAGGGATGGCGATGGTCCTTGCCTGCTTAGCTCCTCTTGAGTAGACCTGAAATGTCAGAGCGATATGAATTGAAAATATTTGGGGAGCCTTGTCACATTAAAATGATGTGCCGATTTCATAAATGTAGAAATTAATATGTGTGAGTATGAATCAAGGAGAGCCCTGGTGGTGCAGTGGGTTAAAGTGCTGAGCCGCTGAGCTTGTTGACCGAAAGGTCGCAGGTTCAATTCCGGGGAGTGGCGTGAGCTTCCGCTGTCAGCCCTAGCTTCTGCCAACCTAGCAGTTCGAAAACATGCAAATGTGAGTAGGTCAATAGGTATCGCTGCGGCGGGAAGGTAACGGCGCTCCATGCAGTTATGCCGGCCACATGATCTTGGAGGTGTCTATGGACCATGCCGGCTTTTCAGCTTAGAAATGGAGATGAGCACCACACCCCAGTCATACATGACTGAATGTCAGGGGACAACCTTTTACCTTTAACCTTATGAATCAACTGTATGAAAGGTGTATGAATGAGAGCTAATAATTTTGCAGATGCCATCCTAAGGAATGAGGCCTGGAAAACTACAAGAAGGAGGTGAAGGATTCAGGGACTGTAATTAAAAGTTGTTGATGAGAACTGTGACAATGATTAACTGTTGGAAGTTTTGGGGGAAACAACGTGCTTATCTTATCAGAGACAAAAGCTGTTTACCTTAAGGAAATGTTTACAAGGTTCTTTACATTAGGAAGCAGAGGCAACCACATTTGTAGAGGAAATCAGGATGTTTCAGATTTGGAAAACATGCATCATTCATTTACAACTTTGGAACACATCAGCAAGAATATTCCTATAAAAGACTCAATCTAATAATTCTCAAGTGTGACAGACAGCGAGGCTGTTCACCTGCCCTGCTCTGGTCCATGGGAAGTACAGAGATGGTGTATGGATTTGAGAGTGTCAGATCAGCAATGGAAAGCAGGATTTTAGGCACTTGGCCTCCTTTTCTCAGTGTATTTTCAGAGAGTCTGTTTCTGCTGTATGGAAAACAGGGATTTGATCCTTAGGGAAAGAGGAGGTTTTGTAAGTTTTGGAAGCATTGGAAAAGTGGCAGATTTGCTTGCAAGGAAGCAGTCTAACCTAAAAGATGTTATTCTCCAGTAGACAGCAGGAGAAATTGTGATGTTCCAATTCAAGGTGCAGGTTCTTACCTACAAAGCCCTGAATGGTTTGGGACCCGCCTACCTGCATGACCGCATTTCTGTGTACGAACCCACACAATCTCTTCGATCATCTGGAGAGGCCCTGCTTGCGGTCCCCTCCTCCTTCATAGACGCGATTGGTGGGTACGAGGGAGGGGGCCTTCTTGGTGGTGGCTCCTCGACTCTGGAACTCACTTCCCAAGGACATCAGGCATGCCCCAACTCTGGCAGTCTTTAGGAGGAGCCTGAAAACGTGGCTGTTCCAGTGTGCCTTCCCAGAATAAGGAAAATTCCCAGCAATATGTCCTCAGAATGCACTTTACTATTGGTTTAGGATGGACTGCGCTCCCTCATTTCTTTTAAAACCCTATACCAGATATATCCTACCTTGTTCATGCCCAGCATTTATTTATTTTTTAAAATTTTAAACTATTACCTTTGGCCCAGCCATAGGTTTTTAAATCCTTGTGTGTTGTTGTTTATTGGTTATTGTTTACATGTGATTTATATTAATTGCATTGTATTTGTATTTATTGTTTTTGTTTATTGCTTTTTGTTTTTATTGATGTGTTGTCGGGCTGGGCCTCATGTAAGCCGCTCCGAGTCCCTTGGGGAGATGGTGGCGGGGTATAAATAAAGTATTATTATTATTATGTATACATGGTGATGAATGAATGTGTATGGGAAATATGAATGCTGAGTAAAAATGTAACCCCCCTTCCTTTCTTTCTTTCTTTCTTTCTTTCTTTCTTTCTTTCTTTCTTTCTCTTTCTTCCTTTCTTCATCTTACCCCTTTAATCAATGTAACTGTAGGTTGTTTTTGGATTCAGTGTAGTTACATAGAATCTGTATTTCTGTATGTCTAAATGTTGTTCTGTAAATGTTCTGATACTCTTTCTCTTACTGGAAAATTGCAATAAAAAGAACCAATGCTTTAAAGTTAGTCAAAAGTTATTCATAACAGCCTAGGACCTTAAGAATGCCATTGACAGGAGACATTTCCCTACAAGACTTATTTGGGCCACTTTTAAAGTTACTTAATTCCTTTGCTTTTCTCTGGATGTTTATGGTGGTGAATATGCTCTTGGCTACATTGCCACAAAAACAGAAACTACTACAGTCAAACCTCTACATCTCCTGGGATTTAAAAATAATAATAATAATAATCTTTAATTAAATTATATTTATTATACCATCTCCCACAGGACTCGGTGTGGCTTATGTGCAGATTTGGTCACAACAGCCCTGTAAAACAAAACAGTCCATATTAAATACCTGGGACCAAAATGCAAGGAGGGAGCTTAAAAGAGGGCCAGGGGGCAAGACCAGAGTGGCAACCTTCCAAGGAAAGGAACTGTGGGGCCATTTGGAAAAGGGACTGGTCTCACCCTCCCTGATGTCTTTCCTCTCTTTCACAGGCAGTGAAACATGGCGAATTGATAGTAACACAAATGATTCTTTCCTAAGAGGAGATTCTGCGGCACCAGATCAGGTAGGCAGCAGGATCCCTGGAGGGGAGGGGAAGCCGAATCTCCCTCTCCCTTGAATATTGCCCTGACTCTAAATGAACCTTTCTTTTCTAAATTCCTTCCTTACAAGATGTTTTCAGTGAATGGCTTATTCAAAGATGTAAATCACAAATGGGCTGTTTTTTTCTGACTTGGATGACATTTCCTCCTCACAGATAACATTTTTTCCCCTTCAGGTGACTTTTGAAGATGTGTCTGTGGATTTCTCAGAGGAGGAGTGGGCCCTCTTGGATCCAAGCCAAAAAACCTTGCACCAGCAAATCATGGAGGAAAATTTAGGGATCGTGTCATCTCTGGGTAAAGCTCCATTCTGCTTGTACTTAACCAAATCAGTTTACAAGTTCTAAAAACTATCCAGTGTTTCAGATCTCTCCCTCTGAAGTCATAGAAAAAAAGTTCATTCCATATCCAGATAGGGACCAGCCCAAGAAGACAGTTGGCATTTGGGTGGAGTTTGACCCACTGTAATTCAGCCCCTCTCTTCCCACTTTGCAGAACATTATTGTCTTTCCCAGTGAGGAGCAGGATCTCGTGTTTATGTCCAAAGTAGGATGGCCTCATTTTGGCCCCTTCAACTCTCTAGGAGAATTCATTAATTCAGGTTCCCTCCCGTTCATGCTCTGTGCAGCCTCCAGGAAAGAGTGGTGCTGAACGTGCCAGGCATTGAAGGGAAGTGAATCAAGGTGCATACACCCTCCCCCTCCCCCTCTTTATATACACTTATTTTCGTCTTTTGGACCAAAGGCCCAAGAAAGGTAGCCTTTTATTTTAAATGCAACCAGTATTTTAAATTGGTCCATGAAGGGTTTATATACCAAGTTTTATCCACATTCTACCAAGCTAGTTCTATCAAGGAATCTTTGCAGCTCATACATACACACATTGATTTATATATGTATTGATTTCTCTGTAAACTATATATATATTTACACACACACACACACACACACACACAGACAGACAGACAGACAGACAGATAGATAGATATACAGGGTTGTTGTAGGTTTTTCGGGCTATATGGCCATGGTCTAGAGGCATTCTCTCCTGACGTTTCGCCTGCATCTATGGCAAGCATCTTCAGAGGTAGTGAGGTCTGTTGGAACTAGGAAAAGGGTTTATATATCTGTGGAATGACCAGGGTGGGACAAAGGACTCTTGTCTGCTGGAGCTAGGTGTGAATGTTTCAACTGACCACCTTGATTAGCATATAATGGTTTGACAGTGCCTAGAGCAAACTTTTGTTGAGAGGTGATTAGATGTCCTTGTTTGTTTCCTCTCTGTTGTTGTGCTGTTGTAATTTTAGAGTTTTTTTCTATATATATATATATATATATATATATATATATACACACATACACATACACACACATACACACACACACACCAGACCACACTCGTGAATCTAACAATATAAAATAGGTTTGCCTCGTGCCTGTACTAATTCTGAAGTTAAAGAAAATCAACACTTGGGGGTGTTTTAAAAAAAGACTAAACGGTTAAAATGGGAGAAATAACATTTAAATATATAAAGTGACAAAACAGAGAATGTCAAACTCCACTTCGTGCAGCTTAATTCAATCCTTTTTAAAATGGCAACTTTATTCTGGCTTCTAATCTGAATTTGGATGTTTGTTCTGCTGCCTGATGCCATGAGGTTAAGTTCACCTACCTGTGTGGCATCAGGCAGATGTCTTGCTTGTGCCAGAAGTACAGAGGATTCCATAGAAACCAGAGCTAAAGAAAACAGTTCTATTTCCCACAGCCCTGGTTGAGTTATGATTTACTGTGAGGCTTATAACTTGGTATAATTTTTAGAGCAAAGACAAAAGATGTTTTTCTCTTAACTGCCAGCGTTGGAAAGAACTGTGGGAAAGGGCTGTCTGGACTAAATGCATTTTGTAATGTGTATACTTTTTAAACTTTAATCTAATATAGCTTTTTCTTTTCAACACATGGTCACACTTCTCTTGTTCTCAAGCCATGAAAATGGAGGAGACACCATTTAAATATTTGGAAGATGGAATTAATTTCAATAGGAAGGAAGTGGGCACCTTTTCTCAAGAAACTCACATAAGCAATAAACCATTTAAATGTTTGCAGTGTGAAAAGAGCTTCAGTCACAAACATGACCTTATTTGTCACCAAGCAACACACACAGTTGAAAAACCATTTAAATGTCTGGAATGTACAAAAAGTTTCTCTCGGAAACTAGGTCTTCTTTATCATCAGGCAGTTCACACCGGAGAGAAACCATTTAAGTGCTTGCAATGTGAAAAGAGCTTCAGTCACAAGCGCCCCCTTATTCGTCATGAGGCAACTCACACAGGAGTAAAGCCATTTAAATGCATGCAGTGTGAAAAGAGCTTCAGTCACAAACCTGACCTTGTTCGTCACCATGCAACTCACACAGGAGAGAAGCCATTTAAATGCTTGCAGTGTGAAAAGAGCTTCATTCAGAAGGTAAGCCTTGTTCATCATCAGGCAATTCACACAGGAGAGAAACCATTTAAATGCTTAGAGTGTGGAAAGAGTTTCAGTCGGAAGGAGGGCCTTGTTTCCCATCAGGCAACTCACACAGGAGAAAAGCCATTTAAATGCTTACAGTGTGAAAAGAGCTTCAGTCACAAGCGCCCCCTTATTCGTCATGAGGCAACTCACACAGGAGAAAAGCCGTTCAAATGCTTGCAGTGTGAAAAAAGCTTCAGTCACAAGCATGACCTTGTTCGTCACCATGCAACTCACACAGGAGAGAAGCCATTTAAATGCTTGCAGTGTGGAAAGAGCTTCATTCAGAAGGTAAGCCTTGTTCATCATCAGGCAATTCACACAGGAGAGAAACCATTTAAATGCTTAGAGTGTGGAAAGAGCTTCACTCAGAAGGTAAGCCTTGTTCATCATCAGGCAATCCACACAGGAGAGAAACCATTTAAATGCTTAGATTGTGGAAAGAGCTTCAGTCAGAAGGGAGGCCTTGTTTCCCATCAAGCAACTCACACAGGAAAAAAGCCATTTAAATGCTTACAGTGTGAAAAGAGCTTCAGTAACAAGAAGGCCCTTTTTCGTCACCAGGCAATTCACACAGGGGAGAAGCCATTTCAATGTTTGGAATGTGGGAAAGGTTTCACACGGAAGTTCAACCTTGGTAATCATCAGGCAGTTCACACAGGAGAAAAGCCATTTAAATGTTTGGAATGTGGAAAAAGTTTCTCTCGGAAGTTCTGCCTTGTTCATCACCAGGCAATTCACACAGGAGAGAAGCCATTTAAATGCTTAGAATGTGGGAAAAGCTTCAATCGAAAGAAACGCTTCATTCATCATCAAGCAACTCACACAGGAGAAAAGCCATTTAAATGCTCAGACATGCATTAATATTTATTATTAATTTTTCATGTCCTGTCTATAACATAAATAATAGAAAAATTATCACAGATGTGTATATGTGTGTATTCAATCTCCAAAAATCCATTGTGTTTCTTAAAATATGTAGGCGATAATTATTTATCCTAAAGAAATTGCAAGTTTAGAAGTCTGAATTTAGTCTGTATGTTTTCATATTAGTGGAATAATTTTGCATCGAATCAATTTGCTAAGTCCTAATGGAAAAAAGTAAATGATAAAACAATTACCAGAGCTGGCTCCATTAATCCCTGTGTTAAATTCCTAGCAGAATCTGAATGATGATTTGCAGACCATCTGGTTGGTTGTGAGTTTGGAACCTTGTGGTTGAAAAGTAATTTGGCAATTTTAATCCATTCAAATGGGGGAATAAGGTCATTCCCACTTAGTATTGCTCTTATGCTTTAAAGTAACCTTCCTCAACCTTGATCTTTTCTCCAGACTACAAAATCATCAATGAAGATTTTCCAAGGGACATTGGTAATTTAACATGTCTAGAAACTATCATATTGGGAAAGACTGTCCTAGCTGCAGGAAAGCATTTAATCATTTAATGCATTTTAGTTGATTAGATTTTTATTATGGTGTTAGTAGGATTGACTTAGATGTATTATGTCTATTTAATTCGTTAACATTCAGATTAGCTATCATATGTCCGGATTAGCACATTTTGTTTATTGTTTGATTCTGGTTTGTTTATTGTTTGATTCTATTGTTTTATGACATTGAGTGTTTGCCACCTTTTGTTTGGAAACTGCCCTGAGTCCCCTTGGGGAGATAGGGTGGATTATAAGTAAAATTTATTTAGATATGGTAATAAAATATAGAATCAGTTCAAATAAGCTTTTGTGAATTATTTCTCCTCTGTTTTTTTATTTTATCATTCTCAGCATGATTCAATTTACTTCCACTTCAAACAACCTGATTTTTAAATGGTGGTTTGTATTAATTATAAGGCTACTGAGGAAGGATCAGGTGAAATACTCACAGATCCTCTCTTAGCATGTATACAGTTTATTATTATTATTTATTATTTACAGTGTTCTCACCCCGTAGGGGACTCAGGGTGGATTACAGTGTACACATATATGGCAAACATTCAATGCCAATTTTTGACATGCAAACATATACAGACATACACATAGGCTATTTAACTTTTTCTGGCCGCCAGGGGAGCTCTCGCTTTCATCGTCCATCTGCGATGCTGATGAAGCACTTCCGCATTCCCCGCATGCTTCCCTGCTGGAATGCTTTGCTGGAGTCTTCTTTATGGCCTCCTAAATCAGTTAATTTAGCCTCCTCACACTTTAAGGTGGGACCTAATTTTCCTACTTGACAGATGCAACTGTCTTGGGTTGCAAAGGTCGACAACAGGCTACACAGTTGGTTGGAAACCCACTCCAACCGGGCTGGCTTCGAACTCATGACCTTTTGGTCAGAGTGATCTTAATGCAGCTGACAGCCAGCTGCGCCACAATCCCGGTGCAACAATCCCGGTTTGTGTTAGAATAGGGTGGGTGTGGTCTATAAAAACAAATAGGAAAAAAGAAAATTGGAATGGAGGAATCAGTAAGGAATACTTCAATATACTTTATTTTTTAAATTATTATTACTATATTTATTTATACTTCGCTTTATCTCCCCCAAAGGGGACTCAGAGCGGCTTAACATAAAAACATTAGCACACCATTTTAAATATACAGATATACAAATATTAAAACAGAATTAAATATAAACAGTATTAAAAGATTCAGTTAAAACCATTCAAAGATATTTGATGCACATTCAAAGCTAAATTCCAAATGCCTAGCAGTGGATAAGTAACACTCAACCCAATTATGTATTCAAAATGGTGTTCAGGAGATTTCCTTCTGTGTACGAGTGAAGCCTGTGTTGTGTGGTGGATTTGAGTGCTTAAGTATGACTCTGCAGACCAAGGTTCTGGCTGGCCATCAAAACCCACAGGTTGACCTTGGATGCCCCACACACTCTCAGCCTCAGAACACAGCCGCGGCAAACCCTTCTGAAGAAATATTGGCATAAAAATCCTATGATGAGGTTGGCATGATATGGAAATGACTTGAAATTATTCATCCCAGAGCAAGGCCTTAGGTTGGCATGGATTTATCTCAGCGAGTCATTTGGCTCTAAACCTACCACTCCTCCTCAACATTGGTGGCTCACTGACACAGGGAGTGGGTGAAAAGCAGAATGCAGAGGAAACAATATGAGATGGACGAGGCAATAGGGGACATGAAATGCAAAATAGGGAAAGACGTCATCTATCTGGCTACTCTAAACAAATCCAAGTCCCCAGGGGCAGATGAACTACATCCAAGAGTATTGAAGGAACTACCCAAAGTCATTTCATTTTCGAATGTTTCACCATTAAGTTGTATCTCTGGCATTGGAGGGGAATTTGCTGGTGACTGCTGGAAGAGGACTTTGGTTTTCTCAATGTTTAATGACAGGCCGAGCTTCTCATACGCTTCTGTGAAGGTGTTTAGAGTGGCTTGAAGGTCTTCTTCTGAATGCGCACAGACGACGTTGTCATCAGCATACTGGAGTTCTATAACAGATGTTGTAACCTTGGTTTTGGCTTTCAGTCTGCTGAGGTTAAATAGCTTGCCATCTGTCCGATAGGTGATTTCCACTCCGATGAGAAGCTTCCCATCAATAAGGTGAAGTATCATAGCGATGAAGATGGAGAATAAAGTTGGGGCAATAACACATCCCTGTTTGACACCTGATTCCACCTTAAACGGGTCACTTTGGGAGCCATTGTTGTCCAAGACTGTTGCCATCATGTCATCATGGAGGAGCCGCAGGATGTTCACAAATTTGTTAGGGCACCCAATGTTTTGGAGGATGGACCAGAGTGCTGCGATTCACTGTGTCGAATGTCTTTGCCTATACCTATATGCTTCTCAGCCTTTTGGCTAAGATCAAGTGTAGTATCAAGTGTAGTATACATACAGATATACATGGAGGCCATGACAGACTTTGTATTTCTAGGTGCAAAGATTACTGCAGACACAGACAGCAGCCAAGAAATCAGATGTTTCCTTCTTGGGAGGAGAAGAATGTCCAATCTCAATAAAATAGTGAAGAGTAGAGACATCACACTGGCAACAAAGATCTGCATTGTTAAAGCAATGGTATTCCCCGTAGTCACCTATGGATGTGAGAGCTGGATCATAAGGAAGGCTGAGTGAAGTAAGAGATGCTTTGGAACTGTGGTTTGGGAGGAAAGTTCTGAGAGTGCCTTGGACCGCAAGAAGATCCAACCAGTCCATACTTCAGTAAAGAAAGCCCGACTGCTCATTGGAGGGAAGGAGATGAGAGGCCAAGATGAAGTCCTTTGTCCACATCATGAGAAGAAAGGAAAGCTTAGAGAAGATAATGATGCTGGGGAAAATGGAAGGAAAAAGGAGGGGCTGACCAAGGGCAAGATGGATGGATGGTATCCTTGAAGTTACTGGATTGACCTTGAAGGAGCTGGGGGTGGTGATGACTGACAGGGAGCGCTGGTGTGGGCTGGTCCATGAGGTCATGAAGAGTTGGAAATGACTGAACGAATGGATAACACACACACACACATGTATATAGAATCATAGAATCAAAGAGTTGGAAGAGACCTCATGGGCCATTCAGGCCAGCCCCCTGCCAAGAAGCAGGAATATTGCATTCAAATCACCCCTGACAGATGGCCATCCAGCCTCTGTTTAAAAGCTTCCAAAGAAGGAGCCTCCACCACACTCCGGGGCAGAGAGTTCTATGATTATATGATTCTATGATTCTTGGCTGCTGTCTGTGTCTGCAGTAATCTTTGCACCTAGAAATACAAAGTCTGTCATGGCCTCCATGTTTTTACCCTCATTTTGCCAGTTGTCAATCATTCTTGTTGCCATAATCTTGGTTTTTTTTTCATGTTTAACTGCAACCCAGCATTTGCACTTTCTTCTTTCACCTAGAATCAAAGAGTTGGAAGAGACCTCATGGGCCATCCAGTCCAACCCCATTCTGCCAAGAAGCAGGAATATTGCATATATATTGCACCTTGATTAGAAGGCTCCTCAGATCCTCCTCACTTTTGGCCATCAAAGTGGTATCATCTGCATATCTAAGGTTGTTAATGTTTCTTCCAGCAATTATATATATATATAGAGAGAGAGAGAGGCTATTATTAGTGTTGCTACTATTATATTATAATCTAGTTAATGGGTGTGTTTGCATTAAGGGGTGGTCTTCCATCCCCAAAAGGAGGAGAGAGGTTTCCTGAGCAGCAGAGGCCAGGGTTCGGTAGCTGGGTCTTCCTCTGAAGGGTTAAAACGAGCGAGAGGGGTTCCTAGAGGGGAAGAGGAAGGAAGGACCCACCCGTCCCTTTCCGGTCAGTAGTGAGCGCGTCCCTTCCTAGAGAGGCATTGAAAGAGGCTTGGGCTGCAGGAGGTCCTCTGAGTGGGGGGGAGAAAAGTGCTGCTTCCGGAAGGGAGCCAGTCCTCCTTGGGCGGGGCTGGAGGCAGGCCTGCTCTCTCTGGGGCATCTCCTCTCCTCTCTGCTGTGAGACCAGCCCATCCATTCAGGCTCCCACCTTCTCTTTCCTGGGTAAACAAGGGCCTTCCTGCCTTACTAATTCTTCCATCTCCTCCTCTGTCAGTGTGGACTCATATAATCCAGTTCAGAGCAGAAAGCCTGGGACGGAGGGCCTGCCTGGAAGGGCCCTCAGGCAGCAGAGGGAGGGAGGCGGCAAGGAGGGAGACTCAGGCCCTTTGTTTCTGGGAGGAAGGGGCTCTGGAGGCCCCTCTGAGGCCGGCCAAGGGCTCCCTGTAGTCCCTTCCTCCTCCCCCTCCTTCTCCTTCCCAGCCTCAGCTGCAGGTCCTTCTGTCTTGGACTGGGACCTGTGGGGCCTGAAGGAGTGCAGAGAAAGGCTGTAGGAACAAACCCTCTGGCATCTGCCTCCAGAAAATGATTTGGAAGGATTCCCAAAGAATAGGAAACGGATAGCGAGGAGGAGCTGAGGAGCCTTCTAATCAAGGTGAAAGAAGAAAGTGCAAAAGCTGGGTTGCAGCTAAACATCAAGAAAACCAAGATTATGGCAACAAGAATGATTGACAACTGGGAAATAGAGGGAGAAAATGTGTAGGCCGTGACAGACTTTGTATTTCTAGGTGCAAAGATTACTGCAGATGCAGACCGTGGCCAGGAAATCAGAAGACGTTTCTTTCTTGGGAGGAGGGCAATGTCCAATCTCGATAAAATAGTGAAGAGGAGAGACATCACACTGGCAACGAAGATCTGCATTGTTAAGGCAATTGTATTCCCCATAGTCACGTACGGATGTGAGAGCTGCACCTTAGGGAAGGCTGAGCGAAGGAAGAGAGATGCTTTTGAATTGTGGTATTGGAGGAAAGTTCTGCAAGTGCCTTGAACTGCGAGAAGATCCAACCAGTCCATCCTTCAGGAAATAAAGCCCGACTGCTCATTGGAGGGAAGGAGAGTACAGGCCAAGGTGAAGTCCTTTGGCCGCATCATGAGAAGAAAAGAAAGCTTGGAGAAGACAATGATGCTGGGGAAAATTGAAGGAAAATGGAAGAGGGGCCGACCAAGAGCAAGATGGATGGATGGCATCCTTGAAGTGGCTGGGGGTGGTGACAGCCGACAGGGAGCTCTGGCGTCCCTTCATATCATGTGATCCATGCACACCTAACCAATTTCACCAGTGGGAAGTGGCACTCATCCTCATTTGTCACACAGGCAGTTGTTAAATATGTATTTGGAGCCCAATGGATGATTGGCCTTTATTATTTACTTATGTTTACCATGAGGTCACAAAGAGTCGGAAAAAACTGAATGAATGAACAACAAAGAGACATCACACTGGCAACGAAGATCCGCATGGTCAAAGCAATGGTATAACAAGCAGTAACCTATGGATGTGAGAGTTTGACCTTAGGGAAGGCTGAGCGAAGGATGATAGATGCTTTTGAACTGTGGTGTTGGAGGAAAGTTCTGAGAGTGCCTTGGACCGCGAGAAGATCCAACCAGTCCATCCTCCAGGACATAAAACCCAACTGCTCATTGGAGGGAAGGAGACTAGAGACAAAGTTGAAGTACTTTGGCCACATCATGAGGAGACAGCAAAGCCCAGAGAAGACAATGATGCTGGGGAAATGGGAAGGAAAATGGAAGAGGGGCCGACCAAGGGTAAGATCCCTGGAGTGACTGGATTGACCTTGAAGGAGCTGGGGGTGGTGATGGCCGACAGGGAGTTCTGCTGTGGGCTGGTTCATGAGGTCACAAAGAGCCGGAAGCAAATGAACAACAAAGCAAAGGTTCAAGGGGCTGAACAAGGGAGAGGATACAGGGGATAGTTTTGTTCTGTGAGAAGGAGGGGACCCGCTCCCCAAACCCTTTCTCACCAGTTCAAGAAGCCAGTCCTCCATTCAACATTCATGGTAAAGCATTGTCCCACCTTGACAGTATTAACATGACCTTATTTGTCTTGTCTTGTTTTGTAGGACCTCATCAGTTCTTCCCCTTCAAGTATCGTCAGGCTGGGAAGGAAGGAAGTTCCCCATCCAGTTTGGAGGCATTTAAGACGCACAGAACCAAGATGGAAGGGAAAGAGCCAGTTGCTGCCCAATTGGAAGAATTTTCATTTGCTGTTGAGGCAGAGAACAATAGAGAACTTTGGGAGGACCCTTGGAGGAAAGACCAGGAGAGCAATTGGCTCTATTCAGACCTTCAGCACCAGCACTTCCAGCATTTCCGCTACGAGGAGGCCTTGGGGCCGCGAGAGATTTGCAGCCGCCTCCACTCTCTCTGCCGCCTGTGGCTGAAGCCCGAGCGACACTCCAAGGCGGAAATGCTGGACCTGGTGATCCTGGAACAGTTCCTGGCCGTCCTTCCTGCAGAGATGGAGCGCTGGGTGAGGGAATGTGGGGCAGAGACCAGCTCCCAGGCCGTGGCCTTGGCTGAAGCATTCCTCCTGAGTCAGGAAGAGGAGAGGAAGCGGGAGAAGCCCCAGGTGAGAATGAGAGAGGTCATCTTGTTATTTCAAGGAAACAAGAATAATTGTTTTGAAGGATAATGTAAAACTCTTCTGAATTCCTCAGGCCAGGATTATCGCATTCAGTTTTGGGTAGCTAACTTTAAGAATAATACAAACAAGCTATAACGAGTTCCAAGAAGCATTAGGAAAGGAGGACCCAGATGTGCTGACCCTGGAAAAGAGACTTGGGGTACCGCAATTGCCCCCTTTGCACTCCCCAAGGGCTCTCACAGAGGGGAGGGGGCAGTCATCTCCATTCCCTAGGGTGCAATAACCAGTTATAATGATCTGAGGTTATAGGGTGGCCAACTTTGAAGATCAATAGGAACATACTTAGAATTCCAGTTGTGTGTATTTCGGAGGAAGCAACTGGCTCAACCACTTCTGAATATTCTTTCCTTAACTCGACAGAGATCCTGAAAGCACAGATATACAGGCTTACATTACTCAGCCCGAGAGCCCCTCTAGGGTAGCCCCAAATTACAACTCCAGGATTACGTAAAGTACTTCCTTCATCTCAGGGGTAGCCCTTCCACTTCTGATCGAGTCCTGAAGCAGATTGCAGGGCCCAAAGGAAGGCAGAATTCCCACAGCAAAATCAAGGAAAGGCAGATTTTTCTACAGAATGAAGAAAACCAATCTTGGGTCCCAACCATAATCCCAGCAGTCTGGAACAGGTTGCAGAAAGAGAGCCCTTCCTCCTTTTCTAATCTGTCTTTTCCCTTGTGGTCTGTGCTGCTTGTTCAGGTACAGGACTCTTTTCCAGAGGAGACCAGTCAGGTGGAGGATTCACACATTTGGGTCGTCCAGATTGGAGAAGACGGAGAATATATTGTAGATGGTAAGGGACGGTGATGGTCCTTCTTACTTGTTCACCTCCTCTTGAGTAGACCTGAAATGTCTGAGCTGTGTGAAGTGGGGGAAAAAGTGGGAAGCCTGAGAGCTTAAGAATGCTGTTGACAGGAGATATTTCTCTACTACTTTCAAAGTTACTTGATTTCTTTGCTCCTCTCTGGATGTTTCTGATGGTGAATATGCTCTTTGCTAAACTGACATCATGAGGAGACAGGAAAGCCTAGAGAAGACAATTATGTTGAGGAAAGTGGAAGGAAAAAGGAAGAGGGGCCGACCAAGGGCAAGATGGATGGATGGCATCCTTGAAGTGACTGGACTGACCTTGAAGGAGCTGGGGGTGGTGACGGCCGACAGGGAGCTCTGGCGTGGGCTGGTCCATGAGGTCACGAAGAGTCGGAGACGACCGAACGAATGAACAACAACAAACTGACAGAAATACAGAAACTAATACAGTCAAGCCGCTAGATTTGCTGGATTTAGGTTGCAACACCCCTAAAACAAAATAGTCCACATTAAAGACCTGCAACCGAAATCCAAGGAGGGAGTTTAAAAGAGGGCAATGGGGCAAGGGGAGGGTGGCAGGCCTCCGAGGGAAGGAACTGTGGGGCAGCCTGGAAAAGGGCCCGATCTCACCCTCCCTGATGTCTTTTCTCTTTTTCACAGACAGTGAAACATGGCCAAGTGATAGTAGCACAAGTTTTCATGATTCTTTCCTAAGAGAAGATTCTGTGGGACCAGATCAGGTAGGCAGCAGGAACCCTGGAGGGGAGGGGAAGCCCTGGCTCTAAATGGATATCTCTTTTCTGCATTACTTCCATACAATATTATTTCAAATTCAAAGTCATAAATCACAAATGGCCTGTTTTTTTCTGACGTGGATAGCATTTTCTCCTCACAGATTATTTTTTTTTTCCTTCAGGTGACTTTTGAAGATGTGTCTGTGGATTTCTCAGAGGAGGAGTGGGCCCTCTTGGATCTGAACCAAAAAACCTTACACCTGCAAGTCATGGAGGAGAATTTAGGGATTGTGTCATCACTGGGTAAAACTCCTTTATTCTTATAGATAACCCAATCAGTTTACAAGTTCTAAAAATTATCCTGTTTCAGATCTCTTCTGCAAGGAAATACAATGAGTCAAATAGCCTGGACCTGAGCCATTTAGGTTTTTATAGGTCATAACCAGCAATTTTCATTGTGTATGAAACAGCCAGTGTAGCTGTGGCAGCAAATAATAATAATAATTTTATTTCTTACCTGCCACTCCTCACAGCTACAGCTTTGCTAAAACACAGAAACAAAACACATAATCATTTAAAAACACTCCGCAAAATACACATATGAAAACATATTTCCATAAAATACTTATTAAAATACACAAAACAAAAGTTAGACATAGAGTTGAAGTTAAAGTTCTTCATTACATCTGCCTGAGTGGGCCTGCTGGAAGAGAGAATTGATATTTATTTATTTATTATTTACTTTATTTATATACCGCTTTTCTCAGCCCTCAGGCGACTCAAAGCGGTGATAGTGCTCTTGATCATTGCATCTACTTGGGCTGACATTTGGAGAGATGGATTCAGGGTCCATTTTTCATTCACCCTTCATTCTGTTTACTGGGATGTTAGTCGAATAGGAAAAGTGTTGCCGTTTTCATTCGGCCAAGATCCAGCCCATTGGCTACAATGGGAAACTTTTAAGGCTCAATCCTCAGTCACTTTAAGGCCTATGTGCATAGAACCTACCTCAGTTTTACACCACATTTACTTTTTTTTCCTTTTATCTAGTGTTATTTTGCTGCTTATACATATCATCTATCCCTCACCGCTGTGCTCCCCTCCCCCCTCCCAAGCCACAGCTTTTACATATCATCTGTCCAAAAATTTCAATTCTTCTTGTGGAGGTAACTTTCCTTCTTTATTTTCAATCCTTTTTCGATAAATTTTCTCCATACATCATCAAAACCCCATTTACAAATGCAGACCTGCCAAGTTTCAGAACAATTCACAAATCTACTCATTTTTTAAAGAATTATTTTAAGTTTTTACCATAACATTTTTTAAAATAAGACAAATTGTAAGAGAGGTTTCTAGGAACTGTAGTCAACGGTTCTGCCAACCAGAGCATGGACACAACCAGGCTTTTTATTGGTTGAGAAACAGAGAGAGAGAAAAACTTCAATTCCCATCATGCTCCGAAAGTAACTAGGGAACTTCACAATGCAAGTGCTGCTGGGAAAGTGAGTTCCTCTCTGGATGAGGAGCCTAGTAAACTTTCCAAAAAGGTTTTCTTGAGTAGATCCCATCTCGAAGCTTAAAATCATCTGGGGAGGCCCTGCTCTCGACTCCGCCACTATCACAAGTGAGGTTGGCGGGGACGAGAAGCAGGGCCTTCTCAGTGGTGGCCCCTCACCTGTGGAACTCACTCCCCGGGGAGATAAGATCAGCGACTTCCCTTTTGACRTTCAGGAAAAAATTGAAGACCTGGATTTGGGGACCAAGCCTTTGGTCATTCTGGCAGCTAAAGGATCTGATGATAAATAAGGACAGATGGAATGGAATGGACATATGGACTCTGAACACTGAGCATGAGATTGTTTTGCTATTTTTACTATGTATTGATGTTTTTAATTTGTTAACTGTTGAATTGCTTTCTGTTTTATTTGTTAGTTAACTCAGGCATCGAATTGTGCCTTCGTCTGTAAGCCGCCCTGAGTCCCCTTCGGGGTGAGAAGGGCGGGGTAAAAGTTATTGAAATAAATAAATAAATTAATAATAARATCCAATCCAGCCTTTCTTTTTTCRTGCTGCCTTCCACTTTGCAGAACATTACTATCCTTTCCAGTGAGGTGCAGGATCTCATGTTTATTTTGCAAGTAGGGTGGCCTCAGTTTGACCCCTTCAACTCTCTAGGACAGTGGTTCTCAACCTGTGGGTCCACAGATGTCTTGCCCTTCAACTCCCAGAAATCCTAACAGCTGGTAAACTGGGATTTCTGGGAGTTGTAGGTCAAAACACCTGGGGACCTACAGGTTGTGAACCACTGCTCTAGGAGTATTCCGTTAATCAGGTTCCCTCCTGTTCATGCTCTGTGCAGCCTTCAGGAGAGAGAAGAGCTGAACATGCCAAGCATGGAAGAGAAGTGAATCAATGTGCATGTACCCCCTTTCTCCCTCTACATTTACACCTATTTTAGTCTTTGTCTTTAGTCTTTTAGTCTTGTCAAAGTGGTCCCTGGTCAAAAAAAGGTTGGGAACCACTGCTCTATATTTACACCTATTTTAGTTTTTGGGGCCAAAGCCCCAAGGGGAGTGGCCTTTTTGAAAAAAAAATGTAGCTAATATTTTTATTGGTCCAAAAAGGGTTTATGTACCAAGTTTTATCCCGTTCTTTCAAGCCATTTAGGAGTATTTGCAGCCCATGCATAAACACTATGATTTATGTATATATCAATTTCTCTATACAGAAAAGAGGATTACAATATATTCAAGTCCACACTTGTGAAGCCAACAATATAAAACACATTTTGCCTCATGCCTGTACTAATTTTGGACTTTAAAAAATCAACAGTAGGAAGGTGCTTTAAAAAAAAGATGAAGGGGTTAAAATGAGGGAAATAACAGACAGTGTTGGAAAGTTCTGTCTTGACTAAATGCATTCTGTAATTTGTATACTTTTAAACTTTATTTTGTTATAATCTTTTCTTTTCAACACATGGTCACACTTCCCTTGCTCTCAAACCATGTAAACAGAGGAGACACCTTTTAAATGTTTGGAATGTGGGAAAAGTTTCTCGTGGAAGTTTGACCTTGTTCATCATCAGGCAACTCACACAGGAGAGATACCATTTGAATGTTCAAACTGTGGAAAGAGCTTCAATTGGAATTCACACCTTGTTGGCTATCAGAACATTCACACAGGAGAGACATCATTTAAATGTCCAAAGTGTGGAAAGAGCTTCAGTCAGAAGGGAGATCTTCACCACAAGAAAACTCATGCTGGAGATAAGCCATTTAAATGCCTGCAGTGTGAAAAGAGCTTCAGTCAAAAGGGCAACCTTATTAGTCATCGGGCAACTCACACAGGAGAGAAGCCATTTAAATGCTTGCAGTGTGAAAAGAGCTTCACTCAAAAGGGAGGCCTTGTTTACCATCAAAAAACTCACACAGGAGAGAAGCCATTTAAATGCTTGGAGTGTGAAAAGAGCTTCACTCAAAGGAGCAGCCTTATTCATCATCAGGCAACTCACACAGGAGTGAAGCCATTTAAATGCTTGCAGTGTGAAAAGAGTTTCAATCACAAGAGCAACCTTAGTAGTCATCAAACAACTCACACAGGATTGAAGCCATTTAAATGCTTGCAGTGTGAAAAGAGCTTCAGTCAAAAGAAAAACCTTATTAGTCATTGGGCAACTCATGCAGCAGAGAAGCAATTTAAATGCTTGCAGTGTGAAAAGAGCTTCAGTCAAAAGGGAGGCCTTATTTACCATCAGACAACTCACACAGGAGAGAAGCCATTTAAATGCTTGGAGTGTGGAAAGAGCTTCAGTCAAAAGAGCAACCTTATTCATCATCAGGCAACTCATGCAGCAGAGAAGCAATTTAAATGTTTGCAGTGTGAAAAAAACTTCAGTCAAAAGAGCAGCCTTATTAATCATCTGGCAACTCACACAGGAGAAAGACCATTTAAATGCCTGCAGTGTGAAAAGAGCTTCAGTCGCAAGCACATTCTTATTCGTCATCAAGCAACTCACACAGGAGTAAAGCCATTTAAATGCTTGCAGTGTGAAAAGAGCTTCAGTCGCAAGCACATCCTTATTCGTCACCAAGCAACTCACAAAGGAGAAATGCAATTGTGAGTATTTGTATCAGATTTATAACTGTATGTATGTGGAGATGTATATACGATCTTGTTAATTCAATATAATATCCAGAGATAATTCACCTGAGGAAGACCTAGAGTCAAAACTGGTTGTGTTCTCCGTGCTCTTTGCGTCAACATGTTGTTTTCACAAACTGAAAGTTTATTCTTAGAACACGCATTGTTTAAGTTAGAAACTATTTTGTTATACAGAGCATTGCCATTGTAATTGTATATTTTGTACTGTGTGTATTTCACTCAGTATAAGTCTACACTGTAAGTAAGGGTTTAGTTACTATTGGTAGTATATATCTTGTGGGCAAATACTATTTTGGTTATAGTCAGGAGCCCATTTACTAAGTATTCCCTGCATGTACTCAGCTTGTAACTCGTATCAAGAAAAGAGATCAGATTAGTCTGGCATGTTTTTGATAAATCCGTGTTGACTATTAGCAAGAACCGCATTTGTTTGTAAGTGTTCTAAGTCTTCCTTAATTATCTTTTCCAGAATCTTTCCTGGTATTGACATGAGCCTGACCGGATGGTAATTGTTCAGGTTGTTCTTTTTTCCCTTCTTGAAGATTGGGACCACATTTGTTCTCCTCCGATCTGCAGGGTCTTGTCACATTCTCCAAGAACTCTCAAAGATCATTGCCAATGGTTATGAAATGACTTTTGCTATTTTCCTTCAATACTCTTGAATGTAGTTGATCTGGCCCTGGGGACTTGAATTAGTTTAAAGTGGCCAGGTATTCCTGGACAATTTGTTTCTCTATTTGGGGTTAGATTTCCCCTAATCCTTTGTCCATTCCATGTTGCTGAGGTTGAGGACGGCTTTCTTTTTGTGAGAAGACTGAGGCAAAGAAGGCATTAAGTAGTTCTGCCTTTTCTATCCCCTGTTAGCATTTTTCCATCTTCTCCTTGCAAAAGTCCTATCACCTCCTTGTTCTTCCTTTTTTCTACCAAGTTAAGCAAAGAATCTCTTTTTACTCAAAAGGGAGGCCTGGTTTACCATCAAAAAACTCACACAGGAGAGAAGCCATTTAAATGCTTGGAGTGTGAAAAGAGCTTCAGTCAAAAGGGAGGCCTTGTTTACCATCAGGCAACTCATGCAGCAGAGAAGCCATTTAAATGCTTGGAGTGTGAAAAGAGCTTCAGTCAAAAGGGAGGCCTTGTTTACCATCAGACAACTCATGCAGCAGAGAAGCAATTTAAATGCTTGGAGTGTGAAAAGAACTTCAGTCAAAAGAGCAGCCTTATTAATCTAGAGGCATTCTCTCCTGATTTTTCGCCTGCATCTATGGCAAGCATCCTCAGAGATAGTAAGGTCTGTTGGAACTAAGGAAAATTGGGTTTATATATCTGTGGAATGACCATGGTGGGACAAAGAACTCTTGTCTGTTGGAGCTAGGTGTGAATGCTTCAACTGACGACCTTGATTAGCATATGATGAATCTCTTTTTATTCTTTTTAGTATCCCTGGCAAACCTGAACTCATTTGCACTTCATCGAAAGGAATATAATCTCTAGGTCAGTGGTTGCCAACCTTTTTTTTGACCAGGGAGCACTTTGATTTTTTAAATTATTATTAGCATGGATCACAAGGTTCAAGAATAATAAAGTCTGTTAACCTAAAAATAAACTTTAATCAAAACTTGTAACATATTAGTTAAACTTAATAGTAACATGGATGAAGAGTACTATAATATGAAAAGAACATTTTGAATAGAAAATTAAATTTGATTTACATCAATGTGATTTTTGAGCTTGCATCTTTTTTACAAGTTGGGTAATACTGGGGCTAATATCATTCCTCAAGGAAGCAGGGTGGAGTGAGGGAAGGAAGCAGGCTTGCTTCACCCAGGCTTCCAGGGCTCCCTCTTGCTAGCCTTTTCCATGTCCAGTATTTTGAGGAGGAGGCGCACTGTAAGTTGAGGCAGGAAGAGGCAGGCTCCACGCAAGAGGCTCCTTTTCTCTCTGCTCCTTGCTGCTCTTTCCCCTTCCTACTTTTCCTGGTGCGCTGTGAGTTGAGGCAGGAAGAGGCAGGCACCACACATCCTTTTTTCTTTACTCCTCCTTCCTTCTCTTTCCTCTTCCTGCTTTTTCTGGCACGGAGCTGCTGTCGTTTTCGCTCTTAAAAGTCAGCCATGGTGAACCAGGATATTTTTTTTGCTTTGAAATTGAACTGCCCTAACTCAGTGCAATGGCATCCTGGGAGTAGTATGTTACAAGATCTTTGCTTTGCAGACCACTAGTTTACTTCTCAGGGACCACTAGTAGTCTGCGGACCACAGGCTGGGAAACACTGGTCTAGATTAAGAGAATGAATTGTGCCTATATTCTGCTTTGGTCAGACCTCACCTGGAATACTATAACCCATCTATCTATCTATCTATCTATCTATCTATCTATCTATCTATCTATCTATCTATCTATCTATCTATCGTGTCAGGCAACCGAACAGTTGTATTACATTTTTGACAGAACAAACAAACAAGCATACAAAAGACACAGAATTTGCAAGCTTGGTAGTTGATTAAATGTCCTTTGACCAGTATCTGGCCACTTGGAGTGCCTCTGGTGTTGCCGCAAGAAGGTCCTCCATTGTGCATGTGGCAGGGCTCAGAGTGCATTGCAGCAGGTGGTCAGTGGTTTGCTCTTCTCCACACTCGCATGTCGTGGATTCCACTTTGTAGCCCCATTTCTTACGATTGGCTCTGCATCTCGTGGTGCCAGAGCGCAGTCTGTTCAGCGCCTTCCAAGTTGCCCAGTTTTCTGTGTGCCCAGGGGGGAGTCTCTCATTGGGTATCCGCCATTGATTGAGGCTCTGGGTTTGAGCCTGCCACTTTTGGACTCGCACTTGCTGAGATGTTCCAGCAAGTGTCTCTGTAGATCTTAGAAAACTATTTCTTGATTTAAGTCATTGGCATGCTGGCTGATGCCCAAACAAGGGATGAGCTGGAGATGTCTCTGCCTTGGTCCTTTCACTATTGGCTGCTACTTCCCGGCGGATGTCAGGTGGTGCAATACCGGCTAAGCAGTGTAAATTCTCCAGTGGTGTAGGGCGCAGACACCCTGTGATAATGCAGGGTGCCAGAAGCGACTATATTTCATTCTTGAGGTTGAATTTAGAATGACTGCAGTTATGGAGGATCCCTCCCGGCAAGCATTGGATATCAAACCAAGAAACATGAAGATTGTTTTGACAAAAATGACGAAGAGATCCAACAGTTAATTGACAACAAATGGAAAGCCTTCCCAACATGGCAGAGAGACACCAACTGCACTGTGAAAAGAAAAAAAATGATCTATGCTAGTGCAAAAGCTGAGGCTCAATAAAGGACCAGAGAACTCAAGAACGTCTGGTGGACAAAGAAGGCTGAAGAAATCCTACACTTTACAGATACCCATGATGCTCAGGGATTTTTTTAAAGCCACAAAGGTCATCTATGGACCAAGAAACCATGGCATACACCCTCTATGCTCTTCAGATGAAAACAAACTTTTAAAGAACAAAAAAGCTCCAATGTGGCCGAAGAGGTTGTCTCACAAATCCCGCAACAACAAACCAGATATGAGGTTGCAGCACTGCCTAGTTTGGAAGAAGTCAGCAACGCTTATCAGCCAACAAAAAATAACAAAGTCAGTGGACTTGATGGGATCCCTGCTGAAATCTTTGAAGAGGGAGGACCTGAGCCTACACAACAACATCAGCTCATTGAAAAAGTGTGGGTGACTGAGAAAATCCCAGCAGACTTCAAAGATGCCACCATCATCATCCTTTTCAAAAAAAGGGGAATGAACAGACTGTGGAAACGTTTGAAGTATCTTCCTTCTAACATTCACTGGGAAAATCCTTCTGTCTGTCTCAGAAGACACCCTCCTAGAATGGCTTCCGCCCCTCCAGAGGAACAGTGGACATGATTGGATAGTTGTAGGTTTTTCAGGCACTATGGCCATGTTCTAGAAGCATTCTTTCCCGATGTTTCGCCTACATCTATGGCAGGCATCCTCAAAGGTTGTGAGGTCCTTACAACTACTGAGGATGCTTGCCATAGATGCAGGCGAAATGTCAGGAGAGAATGCTTCTAGAACCTGGCCATACAGCCCAAAAAACCTACAACAACCCAGTGATTCCAGCCATGAAAGCCTTCGACAATACAGTAGATATGATCTTCACTTCATGACAGCTCCAAAAATAATAATAATAATAATAATGCAAGGAACAGAATCAACCTCTGTGCATGGCATTGATGGACCTTGCAAAGGTATTCGACACAATGAATCGCAGCGCTCTCTGGAACATCCTCCAAAAAAATGGGTGCCCTGACAAAGTTGTGAACATCCTACTGCTCCTCCACGATGACATGATGGCAACAGTCTTGGACAGCAGTGACTCCCAAAGTGACCCTTTCAAGGTGGAATCAGGTGTCAGACAGGATTGTGTTATTGCCCCAACCTTATTTTCCGTATTCACCGCTATGATACTTCACCTTATTGATGGGAAGCTTTCCACCAGAGTGCAAATTATCTATCAGACGGATGACAAACTTATTTAATCTCAGCAAACTGAAAGCCAAAACCAAGGTCACAACATCTGTTATAGAACTCCAATATGCCGATGATAACGTAGACTCTGTGCATGCAAAAGACCTACAAGCCACTCTAAAAACCTTCACGGAAGCATACAAGAAGCTCAGCCTCTCACTGAATATCGAGAAAACCAAAGTGCTCTTCCAGCAGGCACCAGCCAATCCCTCTCCAATGCCAGAAATACAGCTTAATGGTGAAACATAAAATGCTGACCATTTCAACTACCTTGGCAGCCACCTTTCCACAAAAGTCAACATTGACACGGAAATATAACACCACCCGAGCTCTGCAAGTGCAGCCTTTTTCTAATTGTTTGAAGACCGGGACATCTGTAGAGACCCCAAGGTGCTTGTTTATAAAGCGATTGTCTTCCCAACTCTGCTATACGCCTGCAAAACATAGACTGTCTACAGACGTCACACACAACTCCTGAATCAATTCCATCAGTACTGCCTCTGAAAAATCCTAAAAATCTCTTGGAAAGACAGGTGGACAAATGTCAATGTGTTGGAAGAAGCAAAGACCATCTGGATTGAAGCGATCAACTCTGCTGGACTGGCCACCTTGTTCAAATGTCCGATCATGGTCTCCCAAAGCAGTAACTATACTCCCAACTCAAAAACAGGAAAAGGGATTTAAAGATAGGCTCAAAGCCAACCTTAAAAACTGGCATAGACACCGAGAACTGGGAAGCTCTTGCCCTTGAGCTCTCTAACTGGAAGTCAGCTGTGACCAGCAGTGCTGCAGAATTCAAAGAGGCACGAATGGAGGGAGAAAGGGGGAAACGTGCCAAGAGGAAGGTGCATCAAGCCAACCCTGAGCAGGTCCGCCTTCTACCTGGAAACCAATGCCCTCACTGTGGGAGACCGTGCGAATCAAGAATAGGGCTCCCCAGCCATCTACGGATCCACCTCCAAAACACCACATCTAGAAGACAATCATCCTTGAGTTATGAGGGCTCGCCTATCTAAGTACCTCAGTGCAATGGCATCCTGGGAGTTGTAGAAGTGATGATCCTCTTCAATCAAGCCTTGGGTGTCGGACAAAGGTATGTGTGTACACTTGGAGTTCCTGTTTTCCACGGTTGGCTGAATGAAAGAGAACTGCTGGTGAGCACTGGCCCACAGTTACCGATTTTGCAGAGGAAACAGCCTGTTGTCCAGCATGTGTCCACTATGGATGTTGATTATCACCTTCATCTCAGGACGTGCCCATCCAAGATATCTCAGAAAATTCCTCATCAAGATCAGCAAAGGGCAATGACTGCCTGGCCTTGTGCAGAAATCCTATTCCATTAATACATTTCATCAACTAGGACATAGGGAGGAAAGGGTACAGTCTAAGCAGATCATATTAGTTATATTTCATTGAAGAAGTTAAGAAATATTGTTTTATTTTCTGGCTAGTATTCCGCTTGTATGGGTATAGGCACAGGGGGGAAGACATGTAAGAGAAGATGGGGCAAGGGTTGAATGAAAAGGAATGCCTCCACCTTCATAACTCCTCAACAGATGGCAGTACTGGTATGCAGCAAGTACTGGCTTGTTCAGTAGACTATCCTCTACAGTTCCATTTTGGCGGGAAGCCTTTGCATTGAACAGTTGTGTTGTTAAAGTGCAAAGTATGGAAACCTGCACAGACGGTCGGTCAATGCAACTTGAGCAACGTGCAGTCATTAAATTCTTGACAGGAGAGGGTGTCACCCCAAAAGAAATTCATCAGAGAATGCAAGCTGTTTATGGGGATTGTGTTGATGTGAGTACTGTGCATCGTTGGGTGAGTAAGTTTAAAGATGTTGAAATGGGAACATCTGACTTGCGTGACAAACAAAGAGTTGGACGTCCTGTGACAGCAACCACCGAGTTTCACAAGCAAAAGGTTGACAGGTTTATTCAGGGCGATCGTCGTATCACTCAGAGAAAAATTTCAAGCATGATCAGCATTTCACAAGAAAGTGTGGCTCACATTATCACTTTGCTTGGCTATTGGAAGATCGTGTTTACATAGGTGTGTTTACATTAAGGCGTTGCCTTACATCCCCAAAAGGAGAGAGGCTTCCTGAGGAGCAGAGGCCAGGGTTTGGTGCCTGGGTCTTCCTCTGAAGGGTTAAAGCGAGCGAGAGGGGTTCCTAGAGGGGAAGAAGGAAGGAAAGAACCCCGCCCGTTCTGACCACTGGTGAGCGCGTCCCTTCCTAGAGAGGCACCGGAAGAGGCTAGAGCTGCAGGGGGTCCTCTGAGGGGAGAGAGGTGTGTCTTCTGGAAGGAGCCCGTCTTCTTGGGGGGCGGGGGGGGGCTTGAGGCAGGCCTGCTCTCTCTGGGGCATCTCCTCTCCTCTCTGCTGTGAGACCAGCCCATCCATTCAGGCTCCCACCTTCTCTTTCCTGGGTAAACAAGGGCCTTCCTGCCTTACTAATTCTTCCATCTCCTCCTCTGTCAGTGTGGACTCATATAATCCAGTTCAAAGCAGAAAGCCTGGGATGGAGGGCCTGCCTGGAAGGGCCCTCAGGCAGCAGAGGGAGGGAGGTGGCAAGGAGGGAGGCTGACGCCCTTTGTTTCTGGGAGGAAGGGGCTCTGGAGGCCCCTCTGAGACCGGCCAAGGGCTCCCTTCTTGCCCTTCCTGCTTCTTCCTCCTTCAAAGGAGAGTGTCTTCCTTCCCAGCCTCAGCTGCAGGTCCCTCTGCCTCTCTTGCAGGCTCAGGGCCCATCTAGACAGGACCTATATATCAGAATCTGGCCCTAGGTTTTCTGTTTATCCCAGATTATCTGGCAGTGTGGACTCATGACTGTGAGAGCTGTTCAGCAGTGGAACTCTCTGCCCCGGAGTGTGGTGGAGGCTCCTTCTTTGGAAGCTTTTAAACAGAGGCTGGATGGCCATCTGTCGGGGGTGCTTTGAATGCAATTTTCCTGCTTCTTCGCAGAATGGGGTTGGACTGGATGGCACACGAGGTCTCTTCCAAATCTATCTAGATCTAGGAAAGTAATGCTACCCCTCTATTCCGCCTTGGTTAAACCACACCTGGAATATTGTGTCCAATTCTGGGCACCACAATTCAAGAGAGATATTGACAAGCTGGAATGTGTCCAGAGGAGGGCGACTAAAATGATCAAGGGTCTGGAGAACAAGCCCTATGAGGAGCGGCTTAAGGAGCTGGGCATGTTTAGCCTGAAGAAGAGAACGCTGAGAGGAGATATGATAGCCATGTATAAATATGTGAGAGGAAGCCACAGGGAGGAGGGAGCAAGCTTGTTTTCTGCTTCCCTGGAGACTAGGACGTGAAACAATGGCTTCAAACTACAAGAGAGGAGATTCCATCTGAACATGAGGAAGAACTTCCTGACTGTGAGAGCCGTTCAGCAGTGGAACTCTCTGCCCCGGAGTGTGGTGGAGGCTCCTTCTTTGGAGTTTTAAACAAAGACTGGATGGCCATCTGTCAGAGGTGCTTTGAATGCAATATTCCTGCTTCTTGGCGGAATGGGGTTGGACTGGATGGCCCATGAGGTCTCTTCCAACTCTTTGATTCTATGATTGTATGTAATCCAGTTCAAAACAGAAGAACTGGGATCAGATCCTGGGACGGAGGGCCTGCCTGGAAGGGCCCTCAGGCAGCAGAGGGAAGGAGGCGGCAAGGAGGGAGGCTCAGGCCCTTTCTTTCTCGGAGGAAGGAGCTCTGGAGACTCCTCTGAAGCCGGACAATGGCTCTCTTCACACCCTCCTCCTCCTCCTTCCCCTTCTTCCCCTTCAGAGGAGGGTGCCATCCTTCCCAACCCCATCTGCAGGTCCCTCTGTCTGAAACAGAGGGTCTGTGGGACCTTCCACACAGCTGAATAAAATCCCATATGATCTGCTTTGAACTGGAAAATACATGGCAGTGTGGACTCAGAGGACCCAGTTCGAAGCAGCAGATGTTGTGGGATTTTGTGGGTTATAAGGATGTGTGGAATGTGGGGAAATGCTCCACGGTGATAGTATGACAGCTGGGTCCCAGTGCTGCGAGCGTTACGCTGTTTCTGGAACGGTGCTTCGGGAATGCAGATTGCGGAACGCAGGGGCGGGATGACACCGCTGAAGCAGTTTTATGCAGGGGAGACTCACATAGCAGTGAAAGAATGTAACAGTTCTTTAATGAAAAATGATAAGCAGCGTTTTGGAAAGACCTTAAACAGAATAGAAATCACTAATCAGACCCAAAAGACTATTACACGCTTCCATGTTGTTCCCAGCCCACATCCAGCCTGCCCACAAACTGGAGGGGGTTGGGTAATAATTCTACCTCCCTGGGAAAAGTCACAACCATGTCCATTGTCTAAAACTGTTCAGTAAAGTGGATGAGATTGATTTTACAACACTCGTATTTCTCCCCTCTTTTTTATCCTTACTTGTAATGGAACAATGAACTCTCTTAGAATCATAGAATCAAAGAGTTGGAAAAGACCTCATGGGCCATCCAGTCCAACCCCCTGCCAACAAGCAGGAATATTGCATTCAAATCACCCCTGACAGATGGCCATCCAGCCTCTGTTTAAAAGCTTCCAAAGAAGGAGCCTCCACCACACTCCGAGGCAGAGAGTTCCACTGCTGAACAGCTCTCACAGTCAGGAAGTTCTTCCCAAGATTGTCCCTCCTATGTCTCTCACTCCGGCCGGTCTCACTCCGTCCCCTCTCTCGACCACGTGGTGGGACATATGTTCCCTTCCCTCATTCACAACCACTATCAGCGTAACGCTCGAAGCACAGGGACCCAGCTATCATACTGTCATCCCTGAAGGAGGGCAGAGAAAGGCTCCAGGAACAAACCTTCCAGCATCTGCCACCAGAAAATGAATTGGAAGGATTCCCAAAGGAAGGGAAAGAGATAGAAAAGGTTCAAGGGAGTGAAGAAGGAGGGAGAAGACTACGGGGGAGAGTGTTGCTCTTTGAGAAGGAGAGGACCCTCTCCCCAAACCCTTTCTCTCCAGATCCAGAAGCCAGTCCTCTGTTCAACAGTCATTGTAAAGCATTATCCCGCCTTGACAGTATTATCATGACCTTATTTGTCTTTTTTTGTTTTGTAGGCCCTGTCAGCCTAGATGCATAGAACTAAGATGGAAGGGCAAGAGCCTGTTGTCGTCAAGTTAGAAGTATTTTCTTGTGCTGTTCAGACAGAGAACAATAGAGTATTCTGGGAGGACCCTTGGAAGAAAGAACGGGAGAACACTGTGCTCGATTCAGTCTTTCAGTGCCAACTCTTCAGACAATTCTCCTATAATGAGGCTGCAGGACCCAGAGAGCTTTGCAGCCGCCTCCACTCTCTGTGCCGCCTGTGGCTGAAGCCCGAGCGACACTCCAAGGCGGAGATGCTGGACCTGGTGATCCTGGAGCAGTTCCTGGCTGTCCTTCCTGCGGAGATGGAGCGCTGGGTGAGGGAATGTGGGGCAGAGACCAGTTCCCAGGCCGTGGCCTTGGCTGAAGGCTTCCTCCTGAGTCAGGAAGAGGAGAGGAAGCGGGAGAAGCCCCAGGTGAGAGAGAGAGAGAGAGAGAGTGAGAGTGAGTCATCTTGTAGTTTCAAGGAACCAAGAATAATTGTTTTGAAGGATAATGTAAAACTCTTCTAAACTCCTCAGGCTGAGATGACTGCATTCACTCTCAGGTGAATAATTTTAAGAATAATAGAAATACGTTGGAACGAGTTCAGAGAAGCATTAGGAAAGGAGGACCCAGGTTTGTTGACTCTGGAAAAGAGACTCAGAGTGCCATGACCACCCCCTTTGCACCCCTCATTTCCCAAGGTGGAATAACCAGGTGTAATGATCTGAAGTGATAGGATGGGAAACCGAAGACTTGAAGGAGCGTATTGATAATTCCAATGGTGTGTATTTCAGAGGAAGCAACTGGCTGAACCACTTCTGAAATTATTTCCATAAGACACTATATGTTATGTGAAGGTACAGATTTAGATTACTCAGCCCAGGAGCCCCTCAAGGTTAGCCCCAATTTACAATCCCAGGATTATGTGAAACACTTCGTCTCAGAAGCAGAGTGCAATGCCCAAACAAAAGGTAAATGATTATACAGAATGAAGAAAACAAGTCTTGGATCTCAACCACAATCCAAGTGGTCTGGAACAGGTTGCAGAAAGAGATAATAATAATAATAATAATAATAATAATAATAATAATAATACTTTATTTATACCCTGCTACCATCTCCCCAAGGGACTCGGTATGGCTTACATGAGGCCAAGCCCACACTACATCAATAACAAAAGCAATAACAAAAACAATCAATACAATACAATTAATATAAATCACATAAACAATAAACTGTAACACTCAAGCATTTAAAAACCTATGACTGGGCCAAATGTAATAGTTTAAAATTTAAAAATAACGCTGGTCATCAACAATGTAGGATATAACTGGTATAGGGTTTTCAAAGAGAGATGAGGGAACGCAGTTAGTCCTAAATCAGTGGTAAAGTGCATTTTGAGGGCATATTGCTGAGAGTTTGCCTTATTCTGGGAAGGCACACTGGAACAACCATGTTTTCAGGCTCGTCCTAAAGACTGCCAGAGTTGGGGCATATCTGATATCCTTGGGAAGTGAGTTCCAGAGTCAGGGGGCCACCACTGAGAAGGCCCTCTCCCTCGTCCCCACCAATCGCGCCTGCGAAGGAGGTGGGAGCGTGAGCAGGGCCTCTCCAGATGATCGAAGAGATTGTGTGGGTTCGTACACAGAAATGTGGTCACGCAGGTAGGTGGGTCCCAAACCGTTCAGGGCTTTGTAGGTAAGAACCTGCACCTTGAATTGTGACCGGAAAATGAATGGCAACCAGTGGAGCTCCTTAAACAGGAGGGTTGACCGCTCTCTGTAAGATCCCTCCCTCCTTTTCTAATCTGTCTGTTTCTTTGTAATCTGTGCCTCTTGTTCAGGTGCAGGACTCTGTTGCTGGTGAGACCAACCAGGTGGAGGAGTCTCCTTCAGACACCACGTGCGTTGTCCAGACTGGAAATGGAGAATCTATCACAGTTGGTAAGGGATGGGCAGTGGTCCTTCTTGCTTGCTCACCTCATCTTGAGTAGACCTGCAATGTCTGAGCTGTGTGAATTGGAAAAAATTGGGGAGCCTGGGAGCTTAAGAATGCTGTTGACAGGAGACATTTCCCTACAATGTTTTTTTGTGCCACTTTCAAAGCTTTGCATCTTTGGTAGTGAATATGCTCTTTGCTACATTGGCACAAATACAGAAACTAGTACAGTGTATTACTAAATACTATTTAAAACTAATACTATTACAGAAACTAATACATTTGCTGAGATTAGGTCGCAACACCCCCGTAAAACAAAATGGTCCACATTAAAGACCTGGGACCCAAATCCAAGGGGGAAGTTTCAAAGAGGGACATGGGGGGCAAGGGGAGGGTGGCAGGCTTCCAAGGGAAGGAACTGTGGGGCAGCCTGGGAAAGAGACCCATCTCACTCTCTCTGGTGTCTTTCCTCTCTTTCACAGGCAGTGAAACAGGGCCAAGTGACAGTAACACAACTTTTCATGATCCTTTCCTAAGAAGAAATTCTGCAGGACCAGATCAGGTAGGCAGCAGGATCCCTGGAGGGGAGGGGAAGCCCAATCTCTTTCCCCCTTGGATATTGCTCTGACTCTAAATGAATCTCTATCTTTTACATTTCTTCAATCCAAGAGGTTTTCAATGAATGACTTATTAAGAGATCTAAATCACAAAGACCTGTTTTTCTTCCCTCTTGAATGGCATTTTCTCCTCGCAGATAACATTTTCCCCTTCAGGTGACTTTTGAAGATGTATCTGTGGATTTCTCGGAGGAGGAGTGGGCCCTCTTGGATCCAAGCCAAAGAGCCTTACACCAACAAATCATGGAGGAGAATTTAGGGATCGTGTCATCTCTAGGTAAAGCTTCATTATGCTTTTAGTTAACCAAATCAGTTTACAACTACTAGAAAATATACAGTGTTTCCAGATCTCTTGCACAAGGAGATACAATCAATCAAATAGCTTGGACCTGAGCCATGTAGGTCTTTATAGGCCATGACCAGCAATTTGAATTGTGGCTAGAAATAAATTGGTCACCAGTGGAGCTGTGGCAGCAAATAATAATAATAATAATAATAATAATTATTATTATTATTATTATTATTATTATTATTATTATTTTATTTCTTGGCCGCCTCTCCTCACTGCACGATGTGGGTTAAAATATTGCTAAAACACATAATCAAAATATATAATCATTTAAAAATACTCCGTAAAATATACGTAATTAAATATTTTTCCATAAAATACATGTTTAAATACACAAAACAAAAGTTAGGCATAGAGCTGAAGTTTAAAATTCACCATGACAACTATCTGAGTAGGCCTGTTGGAAAATAGAAGTTTTCCCTTGTGTCTTTAATTCAAACAGCTGATCTAGCTGCCGGAGCTCTACTGGCAGGTCATTCCACTGTCTTGGGGCGGCTGATGAAAAGGCCTTCTGGATGGCGGTTGCCAGTTGGGTTCTGTCAGTCTGGAGCAGATGCCCCCCCCCCCCCCCCCCCCCAGAGGACCTCAGTTTTCAAGGCAGATTGCATGGGAGAAGGCGATCCTGTAGGTAACCTGGACCCAAACCATGTAGTGTGTTCACTACCATCTTAAGGTCCTCCAAATCTAGGAAGGGTCGTAGCTGGCAGATCAGCCAAAGCTGAGAGTAAACACTCCTGACCTGGGCTAGCATTTTGAGACACAGATCCAGGAGCCCTTGTCCCAAGCTGCAAACACACTCTTTCAGGGGGAATGTAATCCCATCCATAACTAGTTGACACACCTCTATCCCCAGATTGGCAAAGTTCTGTCTGGATTCAGTTTCTATTTATTTTTCCTCATCCAGCCCTTTGCCTCCTCCAGGCATTCATTCAAAGGAAAAACACTATCCTTAGCTGAAGCTGTTTTTGCAGGCATGGAAAACTATATTTGGGTTTCGTCAGCATACTTATAACACCCCACCCTATGCCTACAGATGATATCTCCCAGCAGCTTCATATAAATATTAAAAAGCATTGGGGATAGAATGGCGCCTTGTGGGACACCAGAAAACACAATAACGACTTGTGTGCTCTCTGTACCTGGCCATAGTTAACAGTTTGATTTCAGCTCTTTGGACCAGCCAAAGCTTTTTAAAATCTTCAAAGCCAGTTAGAGTGTATTATAATAATCCAAATGGGAGGGAACTAAGGCATGTACCACCATGGCAGCTCTGGCTTCACAAGGAACAGCTGCAGTTTGTGCACAAATTCAAAATGTGCAAGACACTCCTGGTCACGCCTGAAACCCAGAACTCCTGATTCCATGCCAAGTCCAGGGCGTATCCTCCAAATGCCGGACCCGTGTCTTAAGTGATAATGTAACTTGTACAGAACAGGCTGATTCCCTATTCCCTGATTTGCCTTCTAACTGACCAGTAGCACCTCTGTACTCTGGATTTACTCAAATTGGAAAAGTGTTGCTATTTTCATTTGGCCAATATTCAGCCCACTGACTACAACGAGAAACTTTAAGGCTCAATCCTCAGTCACTTTAAGGCCTATCTGCATAGAACCTACCTCAGTGTTACACCCCATTTACAAATGCAGGCCTGCTAAGTTTTTTAGAATTACTTTTAAGTTTTTACCATAACGTTTTTTAAAATAAGATAAACCGTAAGAGAGGTTTCTAGGAATTGTAGTTGCCAGTTGTGTCCATTCTCAGCCAATCAGAGCATGGACATAAGCAGGCTTTTGTATTCGCTGAGAAACAGAGAGAGAAACTTCAACTCCCATCATGCTCCAAGAGCAACTCGGAAACTTTTCAATGCCTGCCCCATGCAAGTGCTGCTGAGAAAGTGAGTTCCTCCCTGGAAGAGGAGCCTAGTAAACTTTCCAAAAACAAATAGTCCCTGGGCTGCCGCTGCTGGGAAGCGAGGAAAGATGCTGTAGTTAATCCCATCTTCTCCAGGAGTGCCCGTGGCAGACCCCTGCCTCGGGTATATTGCAGACTTAACTCCACCCTCTCCAGTAGCCGAAAATCCTACTCCCTTGATCCATATTGGCCAGCTTTCCAGTCCTCTCCTCCCCATTCTGTTTTTGGAGTTGTTGTCAACCTGTGGGTCCCCAGATGTTTTGGCCTTTAACTCCCAGAAATACGAACAGCTGGTAAACTATCTGGAATTTCTGGAAATTGTAGGACAAAATTCCTGGGGACCCACAGGCTGAGAACCACTGTTCTAGGACTATTCAGTTAATTGGGTTCCCTTCCGTTCATACCCTGTACAACCTCCAGGAGAGAGCGGGGTTGAACATGCCAGGCATGGAAGAGAAGTGAATAATAGTGCATGCGCCCCCTTTCCCCCTCTATATCTACACCTATTTTTAGTCCCTTGTCAAAGTAGTCTCTGGTCAAAAAAAGGGTTAGGAACACATATTATAGTCTTTGGGGCCAAAGCCCCAAGAGGAGTGGCCTTTTTGAGAAAAAAAAATGTAGCCAGTATTTTTATTCGTCAAAAAAGGGTTTATGTATAGTTTTGTCCAGTTCTATCAAGCCATTTAGGAGCCTTTGCATAAACACTTTGATTTATGTATATATTGATTTCTTTATTCACAAAAAAGTAATACAATATATACCTCTTCACACTTGTGAAGCCACCGATGTAAAACACATATTTATTTATTTATTTATTTATTTATTTATAATTCAAACTTATATGCCGCCACTCCCCTGGGGCTCGGAGCGGCTTACAAGAACAGGCTAAAATATAACACAATTTAAAAATAATTTAAAACAATCTAAAAGCAATTTTGCCTGTACTAATTCTGAAGTTAAGAAGATCAACAGTAGGAAGGAGCTTTTAAAAAATAGATGAAGTGGTTAAAATGTGGTGGGGGGGGGGAGATACACACACACATACTTTATTTATAACCCGCTACCATCTCCCCAAAGGGGACTCGGGGCGGCTAACATGAGGCCAAGCCCAAAATAATACAACATAATAAACACACAATAATAAAATACCTCATAACAAAATAGGAAATAACAAATAAAATCAACAATATAAAACAGCAAAATAACACCAGACACAGAGGGCGGGCCAAATGTATGAAGTAAAATGTTAAAAAGTTAAAACCCTGGTTGAGATAGGGATGAAAGTGCATTTATAGGGGAGGAGCCGTGGGATTTAGCCATTTTAGGGGCGGGAAGGTGCTTTAATTCTGAGGACAGCTATAGGCTTAAAAAAACCAGATGGGTTGAGTGGTCATTCTCCGAAAGCACAGTAGAAGAGCCAAGTTTTTAGATCTTTCTTAAAAACAGCTGGGGGGGGGGGGGGGCTAAATAACATTTAATCAATAATATAAGGAATGACAAAACAGAAAATATCAAATTCCAGTTATGTAGATCTTCATTCAGTCTTTTTAAATATGGCAACTTTATTCTGGCTGCTAATTTAAATGTTGATGTTTGTTCTGCTGTGTGATGCCATGAGGTTCAGTTCATTTATCTTTGTGGCATCAGGCAGATCAAGGGTTTTACCTTTCTTGTGCCAGAAGTACAGGGGATTCCAGAGAGGCAATGGCTAAAGAAAAGTGTTATATTTTCCCTGGTCCTGATTGTGTTATTGTTTACTTTAAGACTTATATCCTCCTATAATATTTAGAGCAAAACCAAAATATTTTATTTCTTAACAGGCAGTGTTGGAAAGTGCTGTTTTGACTAAATGCATTTTGTAATTTGTATACTTTTAAACTTTATTCTGATATAAGCTTTTCTTTTCCACACATGGTCACACCTCTCTTGTTCTTGAACCATGTAAATAGAAAAGCCATCATTTAAATGCTTGGAATGTGGAAAAAAATTACCTTGGAAGTTTGGCCTTGTTTATCATCACGCAACGCACACAGGAGAGAGACCATTTAAATGTTCAGACTGGGAAAAGAGCTTTAGTCAGAAATCACACTTTGTTGGCCATCAGAAAACTCATGCAGGAGAAAGACTTAAATGCCCTGAGTGTGGAAAGAACATCAGTCAGAAGGGAGATCTTCACCACAAAAAAACTCACACAAGAGAGAGACAGTTTAAATGCTCAGAATATGGAAAGAGCTTTGGTTCCAAGCAGATCCTTGTTTATCATCAGGCAACTCACACAGGAGAGAAGCCATTTAAATGCTTGCAGTGTGAAAAGAACTTTAGCAGCAAGAGGAACCTTATCCGTCATCAGGCAACACATTCAGGAGAGAAGCCATTTAAATGTTTGCAGTGTGAAAAGAGCTTCGGTCACAAGCACGTCCTTATTAACCATCAGGCAACTCACACAGGAGAAAAGCCATTTAAATGCTTGCAGTGTGAAAAGAGCTTTAGTCAAAAGAGCAACCTTATCAGTCATCAAGCAACTCACACAGGAGAGAAGCCATTTAAATGCTTGCAGTGTGAAAGGTGCTTCAGTAATAAGAGCAGCCTTATCAATCATCAGGTAACTCACACAGGAGAGAAGCCATTTAAATGCTTGCAGTGTGAAAAGAGCTTCAGTCTGAACAAAAACCTTATTGTGCACCAGGCAACTCACACAAGAGAGAAGCCATTTAAATGCCTGCAGTGTGAAAGAAGCTTCAGTCAAAAGAAAAGTCTTATCAGTCATCAGGCAATTCACACAGGAGTGAAGCCATTTAAATGCTTGGAGTGTGGAAAGAGCTTCAGTCAAAAGAGCAACCTTGTTAGTCATCAGGTAACTCATACAGGAGAGAAGCCATTTAAATGCTTGCAGTGTGAAAAGAGCTTTAGCAGCAAGAGGAACCTTATCCGTCATCAGGCAACACATTCAGGAGAGAAGCCATTTAAATGTTTGCAGTGTGAAAAGAGCTTCAGTCACAAGCACGTCCTTATTAATCATCAGGCAACTCACACAGGAGAAAAGCCATTTAAATGCTTGCAGTGTGAAAAGAGCTTCAGTCAAAAGAGCAATCTTATTCATCATCAGGCAACTCACACAGGAGAAAAGCGATTTAAATGCTTGCAGTGTGAAAGGTGCTTCAATAATAAGAGCAGCCTTATCAGTCATCAGGCAACTCACACAGGAGAGAAGCCATTTAAATGCTTGCAGTGTGAAAAGAGCTTCAGGCTGAACAAAAACCTTATTGCGCACCAGGCAACTCACACAAGAGAGAAGCCATTTAAATGCCTGCAGTGTGAAAGAAGCTTCAGTCAAAAGGGAAGTCTTATCAGTCATCAGGCAATTCACACAGGAGTGAAGCCATTTAAATGCTTGCAGTGTGAAAAGAGTTTCAGCCACAAGAGCAATCTTAGTCGTCATCAGGTAACTCACACAGGAGAGAGGCCATTTAAATGCATGCAGTGTGAAAAGAACTTCAGTCAAAAGGGAAGCTTTATCAGTCATCAGGCAATTCACACAGGAGTTAAGCCATTTAAATGTTTGGAGTGTGAAAAGAGCTTCAGTCAGAAATCATACCTTGTTCGTCATCAGGCAATTCACACAGGACAGAAGCCATTTAAATGCTTGGAGTGTGAAAAGAGCTTCAGTCAAAAGAGAATCCTCATTGTACATCAAACTACTCACACAAGAGAGAAGCCATTTAAATGCTTGGAGTGTGAAAAGACCTTCAGTCAAAAGGTCAACCTTATCAGTCATCAGGCAACTCACACAGGAGTAAAGCCATTTAAATGCTTGCAGTGTGAAAAGAGGTTCAGTCACAAGCACACCCTTATTCATCATCAGGCAACTCACACAGGAGCGAAGCCATTTAAATGTTTGCAGTGTAAAAAGAGCTTCAGCCACAAGCACGTCCTTATTAATCATCAGGCAACTCACACAGGAGAGAAGACATTTAAATGCTTGCAGTGTGGAAAGAGCTTCAGTCAGAAATCATACCTTATTCGTCATCAGGCAAGTCACACAGGAGAGAAGCCCTTTAAATGCTTGCAGTGTGAAAAGAGCTTTAGTCAAAAGAGCAACCTTATCAGTCATCAGGCAACTCACACAGGAGAGAAGCCATTTAAATGCTTGCAGTGTGGAAAGAGCTTCAGTCAGAAATCATACCTTGTTCGTCATCAGGCAAGTCACACAGGAATGAAGCCATTTAAATGCTTGTAGTGTGAAAAGAGCTTCAGTCACAAGAGAATCCTCATTGGACATCAGGCTACTCACACAGGAGAGAAGCCACTTAAATGCTTGCAGCGTGAAAAGAGCTTCAGTCGGAAATCATACCTTGTTCGCCATCAGGCAACTCACAGCGGAGAAAAACCAGAGTGTTGAAAGCGCTGCCGTTGACATATAAGCCTCCTTTTTATACTGGTCTGTACTTTTCTCTACTGGGCTAGACTGGCCCCATAAGCTTTGTTGGGCAAAAGAGCTTAATAACAAAAGAACCTCACCATAAAAATATTAAGCAGCTTATTTAGCAGCAGCAGCATGACCCAGAACCAATAGCCAGTATAAGACGAAATAAAAACACACAGACTATTGCTATCTTCCTTTCGGAGGCCTTTCTTGTAGAAAAATAATATAATTATAAACAAGATTATTTATATTTCCTGGTTATATCTTTGCTTCAGCTTCTTGCCTTCATGCTGGGCTTCTCTCTCATGTAGATAAGGAACATACAACAAACTTCAAACTGAAGCAGCTCTCTCCTTAGAGTAGACAAACACAGCAGTCCTTACACCAAGGCATTCTTGACACACGAGGGAGTCTTCACACAGGAGGAGCAAGTAACTCACAGGCACACCTGTTTATATTACCCAAAATGCTTTGCTTAGTCATTGCATCATTTGAACTCTTTTAGTGCCTGTACATCACTTTGTAATTTAAAATACACTGTTAACGTTCAATATTTCTGACACAACTCGAATGGAAGAAATGGGGTTAAGGCAACTTTGCTTGTTTTACATCAGAGAGTGCATGAATCGTTGTGATAGAAACACTGAGTTAAAAAGCTGTGGCTTTTGGGGAAAATAATAACCTGACCAGTTTTCTTTGATGAAATATCTCATTAAACATAAGTGATAATATTTTGAGAGCTAAAGGAAGGATATTTCAGGGTTTTTTAATCGATTCATTAATACTGGTTACTGCAACTATTTCCTGCCATATATATTCAGGGTTAAAAATACATTTAATTGAGAAGTTTGATGAAAAGTGTGGGAATGGCTTCAATTCATGATTAACAGAACTGTGTATTGTGTAATTCTATGTATGTTGGACTGGGTTTTCTTCTTTGAAATTTCTAATAAAGCATAACAGATAAATTGTTTTCTCTCAATTCATGCATACTGGTTACTGTATTTCTTGTCCTATCTATAACATATAAATAATATAAAATCTATTACAGATTTGTGTGTGTGTATTCAATTGCCAAAGACACATGGCATTTCTTAAAATATGTAGGTGAGAATTAATCTAATTTAACCTGAATTACCAGAGCTGCCTCCATTAATCCCCATGTTAAATTCCTTGCAGAATCTGAATGATGATTGGCAGACCATCTGGTTGGTTGTGAGCTTGGAATGTTGTGGTTGAAAATTAATTTGGCAATTTTTATCCTTTCAAACAGAGGAGGGCAAATGTCCCTCTCTTCGAGAAGGGGAAAAAGGAGCCAAACAATTACCGTCCAGTCAACCTGCCATTAATACCTGGAAAGATTCTGAAGCAAATCGTTATAAAAGCAGTTTTTAATCAGTTATTATTTAAAGCATGTATATATCTTCTCGCCCCAAAGGGGACTCAGGGCAGAGCACAACATATAAATGGCAAACATTCAATGCAGGGACATAACTACACTGTACACATACATAAACATTAAAATAACATATCTTGACGTTAAAATCCTCTGTTTAAATCTGTCTCCAAAATCCGTATCAAATATAGTTAGCATACAAAAATTTCCTATCGCTGAATCATTGCACAGGCCCAAAGGCCCAATAACAACATCCACTTTGCCCTGGCTCATAGATCTTACATTCCAGGTTCCTATGGTATGTTGATCTTTAGAGAATCGGATTCGTCGTTCACATCCAGCACTGTCGGCCACTAGCCTTCCTTTCGGCTTTGAGCTAGCTGCATCATCATATCTGGGGCTAGTTGAACTTATTCTCCTCCCCAGTAGCATCTTGACCATCTTCCGACCTGGGAGTCCCATCTTCCGATGGCATACCTGTTAGCGTGTAGCAGAGTATCACAGAAGCTCAGAATAATGGACTCTGGAGTCTCTGGTAAAAGCAGGTTTTCAGCTTTACTTAAGGAGTTCAAAATAGACAAGATACACCATCAGCGGACAGACGTGAAGAACACAAACGGAAAGAGATAGGAACTAATACAAACTGCAGCTGGAAGGAAGTTTATCTCTGACACTCCCTAATCTTTCACAGAGCAAGAACTCAGGGTCACATTCTCACAGCTTGTTACTTTGCTGTTTAACCCTTCTGTGTCAAACTACATCCTGGCAATACAATTCTATTACAATCACAATCCTATCACATAAAATTACATTTAAACACACATCATATATGAATTACACACTGACAATACCGACATATCTGGAATTGTGTCCAGAGGAGGGCAACTAAAATGATCAAGGGTCTGGAGGACAAGCCCTATGAGGAGCAGCTTAAAGAGCTGGGCATGTTTAGCCTGAAGAAGAGAAGGCTGAGAGGAGACATGATAGCCATGTGAGAGGAAGTCATTGGGAGGAGGGAGCAAACTTGTTTTCCGCTGCCCTGGAGACTGGGACACAATGGAACAGTGGCTTCAAACTACAGGAAAGGAGATTCCACCTGAACATGAGGAAGAACTTCCTGCCTGTGAGAGCTATTCAGCAGTGGAACTCTCTYGAGTGTGGTAGAGGCTCCTTTTTTGGAAGCTTTTCAACAGAGGCTGGATGGCCATCTGTCGGGGGTGCTTTGAATGCGATTTTCCTGCTTCTTGGCAGAATGGGGTTGGACTGGATGGCCCACAAGGTCTCTTCCAACGTTATAATTCTATGATTCCATCTCTGGTTATACTGGTCCATTTCGTTTTCTTGGCAAGAATACTGGAGRGGGTTGCCATTACCTTCCACAGGGATCCCGTCATGCAYTGTGTAAATTAAAYCCTAAWGAAATATAAACATCAGRATAGTATTTAATARGGGAGTATCGACAATGCATAGTTGGAACGGCAGCRTGMWATTGGCTATTGAAAAGAAGAAGAAAAGGCCTGGATGCAGAAGGAGGTGAGTGTGGATGAGGAAGAAGAGGATGCTTGTGGAGTGAAGGCTCGGTGAGGGTTTCCCTTTGGTCTGTCTCATCCAGATCCCTCTGACAAAACCGGTCCTGGGCCTGGGAGTCTCCTCCTTCCTGCAATCTGTCACACTCAACACGGATTAAGGAGCATTTTGAAGGATCAGAAAGGTCTTCATGACCTCCAGGGGACCTTGCAGGGCTGCCAGGCCATCCCAGGGGACCCGCAAGGGATTAAATTATTGGGTTGCTATGCGTTTTCCAGGCTGTCTGGCCATGTTCCAGAAGCATTCTCTCCTGACGTTTCACCCACATCTATGGCAGGCCTCCTCAAAGGTTGTGGGCTTCACAGCCTCTGAGGATATTATATAATATATACTAGTTATCCCCTGCCACACGTTGCTGTGGCCTAGTCTCATGAGCTGGAAAATAAAGTAACAAGAAAGCGTTGGTTTCTAATATATGTAATGTATTGATGCTTGTGGATTAAAAGTATTTCTTGTTTCTTTGTCAGTGTTGATGTGGAGATTGTCTGGTTTGCGCAATCTGGAACATGGAACATAGAATTGTCCTTCTTTAGGAGTCCCTTTCAAATCTATGATACTATATATCTCTGTGTGTGAATCATATCTATCTATAACTATAGCTGGATGGCTCATTGTCAGGAGAACTTTGATGGCCATCTAGTCGGTGGCGCAGTGGGTTAAAGCACTGAGCTGCTGAGCTTGTTGATCGAAAGGTCGCAGGTTCGATTCCGGGGAGCGGTGTGAGCTTCCGCTGTCAGCCCTAGCTTCTGCCAACCTAGCAGTTCGAAAACATGCAAATGTGAGTAGATCAATAGGTACCGCTCCGGCGGGAAGGTAACGGCGCTCCATGCAATCATGCCGGCCACATGACCTTGGAGGTGTCTACGGACAACGCCGGCTCTTCGGCTTAGAAATGGAGATGAGCACCACACCCCAGAGTCAGACATGACTGGACTTAATGTCAGGGGACTACCTTTACCTTTACCTTTTTTAGTCCACCTGGTGAAAGAAGGCGGACTGGATGGACTTAAGTATTTTCTGTTGGTCATGGATGTTCTGGGTGGGAAGTTTGCCCCAATTCTCTCGTTTATTTATTTATTTATTCTTGGGATTCAGAATGTTCTTTGATTGTAGGTGAACTATAAAACCCAGTAACTACAACTCCCAAATGTCAAGGTCTATTTTCCCCAAACTCCATCACGGTTTGAGTCCACAGTGCTCTCTGGATGTAGGTGAACTACAACTCCAAAACTCAAGGTCAATGCCCACCAAACCCTTCCAGTATTCTGTTTGTCATTAGAGTTCTGTGTGCCAAGATGGGTTCAGTTCCATCATTGGTAGAGTTAGGAATGCTCTACTATAAATCGCAGCAACTACTACTCCCAAATGAAAAACTCAATTTTTTGAGTGATGGTCACTCCTTGGGTTAGTAAGTGTCTTGTGGCCAAATTTGAGTTATGTTAATCCCACAAACGAATATTACATTTATATAGAGAGAGAGGGGAGGGGGAGAGACTACTACTGCGGACAAGAGGAACACTAGAAATTGAGTAGCCTTCATAATTAATAATAAAGTCGCTAAAGCAGTGCTTGGATATAATAAAAAAATGACAGGATGAGTTCTGTGTGGGAAGTTTGCCCCAATTATCTCGTTCTTGGGATTTAGAATGCTCTTTGATTGCAGGTGAACTATAAAACCCAGTAACTACAACTCCCAAATGTCAAGGTCTATTTTCCCCAAACTCTATCTGTGTTTATATTTGAGTATGTGGAGCATTTGTGCCAAGTTTGTTTCAGATCCATCATTGTTTGAGTCCACAGTGCTCTCTGGATGTAGGTGAGCTACAACTCCCAAACTCAAGGTCAATGCCAACGAAACCCTGTGTGCCACATTTGGTTCAATTGCATCATTGGTAGAGTTAGCAATGCTCTTTGATTGTAGGTGAACTATAAATCTCAGTGACAACAACTCCCAATTGACAAAAAAATTTTTTTTTGAGCGATGGTCACTCCTTGGGTTAGTAAGTGTCTTGTGGCCAAATTTGGCAGCAATTCGTCCAGTGGTTTTTGAGTTATGTTAATCCCACAAACGAACATTACATTTATATTTAGATAGATTAGGTTACTTATTTGTTTGTTTGTTTGTTTGTTGTTGTCGTGTCAGAGCAACCAGTCCATTATATTACATTTCTAACAAAACAAAGCAAACAAACAGAGAAAATACTAATGGGTGAGTTTGGTAGTTGGTTAAATGTCCTTTGACCAGTATCTGGCCACTTGGAGTGCCTCTGGTGTTGCCGCAAGAAGGTCCTCCATTGTGCATGTGGCAGGGCTCAGGTTGCATTGCAGCAGGTGGTGTGTGGTTTGCTCTTCTCCACACTCGCATGTCGTGGATTCCACTTTGTAGCCCCGTTTCTTAAGGTTGGCTCTCTCGTGGTGCCAGAGCGCAGTCTGTTCAGCGCCTTCCAAGTTGCTCAGTCTTCTGTGTGCCCAGTGGGGAGTCTCCACTTTGGTATCAGCCATTGGTTGAGGTTCTGGGTTTGAGCCTGCCACTTTTGGACTCTTGCTTGCTGAGATCTATAGATCTGTAGATCTTAGAAAACTATTTCTAGATTTAAG